TCCGACCGATCTTGTGATTGTCGGGCCGGCATAGTAGGAGGATAAGTTATGAATCCGATGCAGCTCAAGTGTTGGTAGAGGATCAACATGGGGGTCAGTTTAGGAGCAATGAGCCATGTACGACAATGCTAATCATTGTCTTGACGGTTCACATCATGTGCATGAAACGACGGTTGGAAGGAGATAAGCTGCCTCAGCCAGCATGCCTGATTGTCATTCGAAACGCGCCAGCTAAAAAGTTAGAATCAACCCCACACGATATCAACTAAAACCAGTTGCCTATTAAGAATGCTCTGTATTCTGTTTGCGTAATTAAGTGTAGCCCGATACCCTAGATTTCCGCTGAGTTTCCGTGCCTTCTGGCATGCGCCGATCAATCTTGACTGACGGAAAGCATAAGGAAACACGACGCGTAACGAGACGTGAGCCTAATACAAGCTAACGCAGAAGCCGCGAGTTCTGGTGGTCGCAACGTGGCTACGCTGGTATCTAGAAAAGCTTGCAACTTGCCTGGGTCTTCACTTATCAGCACAATGTATTCTGCATACTCCAGATCAGGCAGTCTGCCACCTGAAGTAAATCGTTACCGCTATCCTCGCACGAGGAAAGGGCTGTTTCCATAATCAAATACACAACAAAGTTAAATAGAAAAGGACGAGGGGGCAACCCTGACGAAAAATGATTTCTCTGGTGAATGCGGGCTATAAGTGCTGTAAGCTCGGACTCGGTTTCGGCTGTTAGTAGGAGGAGTTGGAAAAATGTAAATAAACTTCCCAGACACAGCCTTTAGAGAACAGCAGCACCAGAGTTTATAGCGGTCGACTAAGTCGAGGAAGACAGAAATGGTTGGTTTACGAACGAAGTGTTCTGAAATGTGATCTAGACAACCTCGACCAGGTCTAAAATCGACGTCGTTTTCACGCGTCCAACATTTAGTGCGGCAGATACTCAACGAATTATGATACCAGCGAGAAGTTTAGAGACAATGTTGATTAAATAAATTTCCTGTGGTTTCCAAAAGAGGAACTCATACAATACTGGATACCCTCGGGTTAAGCAGAGCTGAATGCTACCAGGCGCGTCCCCAAGTTTTGGATAGGGTATGGCTCCACCGAAGGTTAACTGTGAATAAGTTGTGGCATACCGCAACAAATAAGCAGTCGCCAACAAACAGCGGAGGCACTATCAGGGTGTGGTGGGTTTCAGGTTGGTCACCTGGTTCCTGTTTAAAAGTCACATAAGCGCAATGACGGTGTCGTTACAAAGGTCGATGTGACTGGTGTTTTGACCAACACACTTCCGACACGAGGGATTAATTCCTGCTGCCTCGCAGTTAGCACTTGCTTGTGCAAAGGCTAGAGGTGCACTCTCAAAATAAAAAACGCCGAGTGACTCTGGGGATATCTCTCGTACCAAACTCAAAATTGACTTCATGATCTTCTACGTCTTCTACGACGGAAATCAGAAACATTCATGGAACCGGTTTATCCTTTCCAAGGAGCCAGATATAGTAAAGTAAAAAAACTAAGCGCATAAAAGTAAGGGAGTAGATTTCAGCGGCATAAGTTAAGCGATGCTAATGGCTGGATGATAACTAAACTGTTACAAACAGGAAACTCATTCGACTGGATAAAATTCAGTGGCAAAGCACGAAGGTACATCTAGATGTTACGGAGATTTGCGAGAATGTTGCGCTACTCTGACTGTAAGATAACTCAGCGGCACAGTTCCAGGGGGAAGCTGATTAAACATACATGGGGAACTGTTTAGTCTCATCGACGAACGTGACATTTTAGTATGCACGACGAAAACCACAAGTCTTGAATTCGATAAAGCGGTAAAACATACCCCTTCTTTACCAAACAACGAATCACACATAAAGCGTCGTGAAGAGAACGTTCGGCTTCATCCAGCATCAATTTGTTCGAACCGCGAACTAATATTGAGACTGTGCGACCTCTGTTTTGAATTCCAGTGATTCGAACACAGCGGGCGGTAGCTTCGGATTCCTCGACTAAACTAGCAACACCCAAATAGTCAGGATTGAAGTGATCCAAACTGGCAATTGGAGTACAGTGCAAAGTCTAAAGGAAATTAATGACAAAGGATGAGCGATTTAGAGAAAATATTAGTTAACAGAAGTGTATAATGCTTCAGAAGATTGAAAGACTAAAGGAATAACGCTGCTGAAAACTACGACTGACTGATTAATGGTCAAGATGCCTTTCCTGATAATGAAACCGAATGTGATAAGCCCATTTTTTTAAAACTAACCTAGCACTAGGAACAGGGTGGAACAACAAACGTGATGTAAGTGAAAATCCCTGCAACATAAAACTGATGTGATGTGAGACACACGGTGGATTTTCTACACATTTGATGTTGTCCTCCTAACCTCTGGGTTTTATCTTCACATATGAATCGTAACATAATTTTGAATTACTGAACACAATTGTTCACCGGAAATTGTCTTCCATGTATGTAATTTCATGGTCATAGATTGACTACTTATGAGTAAACAGATTAATTCCGCGAATACTGTGACAAAATTACGAATTTCCTGTCTAAAATAGAAACCGATCCACTTAAATCACATATCGAACAATGTTCACTGTACGCATATTAGGTAGATGACGTTTTATGCGTGTTCGATTCCACAATAAAGGGTCAGCATCTATGAGGTCATCTCAATGCTGTACATTGCAATGTGAAATGGAAATGAAGCAAACAATGAACTAGCATATCTGGATGCTTGCCTAACACGTCGGGATGATGGGTCGATCAGATTGTCAGTCCACAGGAATACGACGTGGAATGAGCAGTATATCCATTTCCGTAGCTTTGTACCACTCAGCATAAAGAACCTCTGTTTGACCAACAGAGCGAGAATAATCTGTACAGAGGACATGCTGGTTGATGAACTCCGAGATGTGCGGGATATCTTCATCCAGAATTGATATCCAGAGGGCTTGGAATCTGTGATGCAGACACGAGGCGTTCCCCCAGAGGCTTCTTGCTTAGAAAGTCTGTGTACATCTTTTTACCATTTCAAAGTGACACCTTGTCGGAGTTTGTGCATAGAAGGTTATCAAGTGCCATGAATAAAATGTGCTACACAGCCAAGCTGCAGACCCGATTCAGATTTAGCCCGGTAATGTTCTGTGGTTGAAGGATAGAACTCCTGATTTTGCTACCTCCTTCCGTGTTAACTCTTCCACTGTGGAGCAGCGTCTGTAGACCGCACGACGAGGCGTCTGTCCTAGCGTATCCATGATCATCACTTTGTTTGGTTGGTCGGGGTAATTAGGTGAATCACAAATACCGTTGATTCGCAGCTTGACACGCAAACGTGACCGAGGCGTTCGAACTTCCCGCGCTTTCTCTCTAGGATACCCTGAAACCAAACCCTTTCTAAAAATTTTGAACTGTTAAAACAAGTAAAAATTGACGTGTCCGAAAGTTTCACTACAATTTGCAGATGTCTTTTGAAAGGACTGCGGAACGCTTTGACGTAGTTTGTGCACTCGGTGGTAGGATTTACAGAACCAGAGCTAGTGTTTCATTTCATTGGCACATAACGAAAAACTAACTACATCGACCGATAAGTAGTGCAACGGTTTACGTCCATTGACGCAAAATGTGTAGAAGCATCAGGATCTCCTAGGGTCAGCTCGTACACTGTTCAGAATCTACGTTTTAGAACTCCCTTGGTAAATCGTAGCTCATCAACCCGACCACATCCCCTTATTTTGAATGTTCTCCCTCTCACGGCATTCCTAACATCCTCGGCATCAGAACACGGAGACGTTTAAGATAACTCGTGAAAGAAGAGATCACACCCAATTACACAGTTACGCATAGTCGGTCTGACCACCTTGCAAAGGTGTAATTCGTTTACAAGCGGATCGTCATCAGTAACGATGACATCTCCAGTGTTTCAATTGCAGTATTCGCAATCACTAATCTACTATCCCACGACAGATTAGATTGTCTTTTGGTTACCCATTCGATATGATATGCGCTGAAGATGTGACAACGAAAAGTCATGAAACTCTAGTCAAAAAATTGTCTAGCTCGGGGAACGGGTAAAAACGAATTCCTAATTGAGAAAAATCTTCAGTTCATTATTGAAATCAATGCACAGTTTGATACTCAGTCATGACCCCATGGAAACGACCACTCTTACATCCAACCCGAAGCCCCTTAACGTTAAGGCGACGGTTTCTTTAGACATCGTGCATACAAAGTGTACGCCGTAAAATGTTCTTTCCTAAATTTGACGACTTCCAACAGCATCTGGGTTGATCAATGCTTGTTCTGAATCTTATAATGGCAACTTGTTTCGTTCCCATTTCGGAGAATAATCAACTACCCATTTTTTTACCCTAAACGATGTGATACGATTGAGATCAGGTGACCGTGGGAGGGTCTTTGTTCCGCGATATCAATGGAACTTGCGCACGACGAGGTAATGTGTAGCTCCGTTATTGTCCAGACAAATCACCTTGCTACTTGAGCTACTTGAACATTGGGATTAGAATATATAGACAAACTTGACCACTGACGAAGCTGTAGGGAAATGCCAGCACGCTCCGCTGTTTCCACTGTATGGCTCACCGAACCTGCAATGAACAACCACCACTGTATTGTACGCTAGTGTTATCTGCTCCAAAGATATTTCTAAGTACACCTTTGATGATCGGGCTTGAACGAAAACTGATTCACCGGTTCAATCGATAAACCCTCATTGTTTGTCACTCCCAACTTCCTAGCATTGCCTAATTAACTCTATCGGTGTCATTCGTAGTTACCTGTTTCCTAAGCTCTTCCGCCCAGCGAACAGACAACGGTGATCGACTACTGCAGTTCTGGGCGGATCATCAGTTGTTCTTATCTAGTACCAACTTTTGACACAGCTCTTGTCGAACGGCTACATGGTGTTCTAGTTCAGCGGGAAAGTTGACCCGAATTGACCACATAGCTGTGGGCCACCGTTGGTGTGGTTCAGTACAAACTTGAAGATAGTACTGGACCACCTGCGTTGAGTCGGATCATGCAATAATTCTGCTACGCTTCACTCTTCGACCCACCGGAAGAAATCGCCTCCCCAGTTAGCTCATCCTTGCCGGCGCGATTTATCTGTTTGCGCACGCTATGAGAAGAGGGGACAGGATGGATGCAACAGACCAACAGTGAGAGCAAATTAGACTTGTGATGCACTCATCAGCTAACCTCGCTTGTGGGGCTCAGCCAAAAGTTCGTCGATGACACTGGATCTCTCTGCAGTCAGTAATCCTGATGGAACAAAAGATCCCACTCTGCCAGGACCAGCATAGAGACTGGTGACACCCACATCAGTCCAGGAAGTCTTGAGATCGCCAAAACTGGTGGGCCTAAATAGCTCGTGAAATATAAGTAGCTTCTGAATCGGGGAATAGTCAAAGACCGTTCCACCTGATACGCAGCACTGGAGGTCGTCACATACCGATCAGTGAGACAATTTGCGATAAAAATGGACAGAGCATCTACAATAGATAAGAACGACTTGATCGCTGGGCAGTACTTAAATGAACAGTTTAATTGGTTCAATGCTAATACGGTCATTTCAGCAATCGCAGCGGAAAATCCATGTGTGGAAACATATGAGCCCCAACAGAACGGGATGCACGAAGCTGTATTCAACCATCAAATAGAGAGAATGCTGATGGACTTAATGGAATTCTCCCTATTCTTTTTAAGGTGGGCAGTGATTCTCTTGTCGACTTAATTACCAGCTTACTGCGCAGCATTTGGTCACAGGAGCGTAGCCGTTTGTCTTGTGGTGAATCCTTGATCGTTACGATCTTCAAAAAGGGATCAAGCAACGACTGCGCAAACCATCGCGGAATTAGTTTAGTCTCGATTATCTCCAAGTGTTGGCTTCTGTGGTACTTCGGCACCTGACACCCTCAAAGCGGATGAATATCCGCGGGTATAAAGCAGGACTTCCACCAGGTTGCGGTTGCATCGACCAAATCTTTACTCTCAGTCAAATCCTCGAATTCCGTCACACGTCGTCGGTCAATAATCGCTGTTTCCTGACCTAAAAGGAGCCTTCGATTCAGTTGACCATCACACACTTCTGGGGTCGCTGCTCCGCAAAGGAATGCCGCGGAAGTATGTAAACCTATTGCGGTCGCTGTACATGCATACTTCTGGTAGCCTAAGGCTCTACGCCGGGCTAAGTAAATCGTTCGAAACCAGGAGCGGTGTTCGTTAGGGGTGCTTTATTTCGCCATTACTGTTCAATTTCGTCGTACGCACTAAGTGGTCTCCAAAATGTTGATAGAAAATGGGCAGCTGGAGAAAATGTGTGATTTAGAACAAGCTAACAGCATCGTTTGTCTATTCGAATTTACGGATGTACAAAGCGCTCTTGACAAACTTTCAAGTTCTGTAACTTCATTCGGTATGTGGTTTGCAAAGCGATGCTGCAAGATTGGATGTCGTCTACCCCGGCGCTGACGCTTGATGGTCAAGAACTCGTTAATGTGAAACATTTCTCCTACTTGGGTGTTTGTGTTTCAAATGACGGTAGCATAGTCAATGAAACGACCGCCCGCATTTCCAAGACTCGAGCAGCTTACGCAGGACTGAAACACCTTTGGTGTAGACGCGATGTTTCGTTGAAACTGAAAGGTCGTGTATACTGCACCAGTGAGCGGTCAGTTCTGCTCTATGGTTGCGAGACCCTAAATTTGTGCGTGGAAGATATTCGTCGTCTAAAAATCTTCAACTACCGAAGTTTGGCGGGGGTGGAGTGGCGCGATTGTGTAAGCAACTTTGAGGTAAGGCGTCGCGTTTCAGGCAATGATTCGATGGAGAAGTCGTCCAATCAAATTCAGATTAGGCGACTTCGCTGGTTAGGACACATATTGCGCATGAGCAGCCATCCTCAATCGCACCGCGCCTTATCCGCAGTTGAGACTCCAAGTTGGAAGAAACCACGTGGAGGTTAACAGATGACGTGGAGACGAGGCATGAAGAAATGCACAGAGCGATTAGGTAGAACAGGTGTCTCCCATCTTCCAGGTTAGGGTCAAAAGGCTCTGCAAGTGGATGGTTGGAGACACTAAAGGATATCGCAGCGGACTGACCGTAGTTGCGTTCCCGTTGTCATTTTTTTATCAGACAAGAATGCTTGAAAAGGTACGTATACAGATTTCGAGTGTGTACTGTGTTGCTCACCGAGATTCACTATCTTTTCCACCCTCCAATTAGGTCTAATCTCTCTCTCTCTCTCCCCATCTTATGCTTCATCACTTAATTTGTGTACATTGTGCGCTTGGCAGCGATCAGTGAAGTTCGCTTCACTATATCCAACTGTACGATGAAGATGACGATGTTTCCTAACACTTGTCCATTCACTTTCTAAATGCATGTTTTTAAAAATGAAATTATCTGGCAAGATGATTTTCCAGCTTCTCCTGCATTGATTACACGCTAGACAATCTCACCTATGGGTATTTTACGTGAACTCAAAAGAACAAAACTGGGTGGACTGCCGAAGTACAAGGTACACATCTCTGACCTTCAGAGCAAATCTCATGGTTTACGATCGCGCAACGGTAAATTGTATCACACAAAATCATAAACGAGTTTGCCCAGATACGAATATTCAAAATTGATGTGGACCCAGAGGACAGTTGCTTGGGTGCAGATGAAGATGGGAACCACAGGCACAGGAAAAAACGTACGTGGGAAAAGGGAAAGCAAGCCTCACAATAATAAACGGATAACCACTCACCTTGCAGATGAACTCAACTTCGGTGCGTTCGATGTCCTTCACGACCATGATATTCATTTTGGAAAAGTAATGGAGAGCAAGCTCATTTACAGCATCACGAAGTATGCTCTTCTGAATCAACAACACATTACATCCGGCTTTTTTAACTGCTTTAACAATATTAAGGATATATTGTCGCTCTTCTTTCATAATCCGGTCCATTTGAGTGTAGTCCGTGACTATTACATTGTTCTCCATCTAAAACATTTGTTGATTTCAAAGGAAATAAACCTACATCCGTCTTGGGAGGTGAAACGCAGAACTGAATTAAACCGATTTTAGCCTTCTCAACCCGCTTGATGGTACAACCGGAAGCGACGCGTTGAGTCAGTATCAATCCATCAACAAGTTCAGTATCTTCAACAG